TGTAAAAGTGCATGTAGCATCCTATGACCCCTTTAAAACCTATTTTCCCCATTCCAAAACAATAGGAAGTTTTGGTTTATAATTTTTCCAATCCCCTATTAAAAAAGCTTCACTTTTATTCCAGTTTATGCTGGAAGAGATTTTTAGAACAAAGCCTGAATATCACTTTGTCCATTGACACATACTGTCACATCATCTGCATAGGCACACAGTATGAATTTATTCCTGCATTCTGGTAACATTACATACACCTTGAAGTTTGCACCTTATCTGATGTAACAAAGGCTCAGTTGCTAAAGAGTATAACATACCAGATAATGCACAACCCTGTCTTATACCTCTAAAAACTTTAAAAGGAGCACATAAACCGCTGTTGACCTTTAAAATACTCTCCACATCACTATAAATAAATAAAAAATTAATAAAATTCTCACTAAAGCCAAATGCAGTTAAAACCTTCCATAAAAAAAAAAGAAGCTCTACATGCTCAAAAGCTTTTTCTTGATCTAACAAAATAAAATTAATAATATAATTTAGGTTTAGCATCTCGGAGACTTTGATAAGATCACGAATAAAAGCAATGTTGTCAAATATCGATCTACCTGGGACACCGGTTTGATCAGGATGGATAACACTGTCCATTACATTAGCCAGTCTGTTAGCTAAAACCTTTGATAAAAGCTTGTAGTCACTGCAGAGCAAAGAAACTGGACGCCAACATTTTATGTCTCCAAGACCTCCTTTTTTCGGTAGAAGGGTCAACACTGCTCTTTGAGGCAGTATACCCCTTGCCAGACTGATGCTCAACACTTCTAGGAGATCTTCTCCTATTGTTGACCAAAAGAGTCGCTTGAATGGAATGATCGAAGTCAGGAGTTTGAATCAATCGGAGCGGTTCCAGCATAAATGACTCACTCAACTGAATCGGTTCGTCTGTTCCTCCTCTTTTCTCGTCTTCAGTCATGTTTACACGACACTGTCAGCACTACTACTGACTTAACTCGCGAGTTTTATGACAGTAACTGAAATAAGAGAAAAAGTTCGATGTTTACAAATAAAATATCCATATTTACATTCCAAAGATAACATCCAACACAAATCTAGAACATATTACTGCTAACTAGAGAAACACTCCATTAATATGACGAGCTGCAGCTCAAAATACATGTTAGATGGAAACATTGTGCGTTATGATCGAGTGTGGAGCTTAATTGACTATATTTGAAATAGTTTGAGCACTGCAGTTCAGTTGCTGACAGTTCAAGAGGAAATCAGCTAAAAGCATCCAGTGAATGTTCAGTTTATCAGTATTGTAATAAATATTTGAGAAATTATTGTTGTATCTGAGTGATAGTCCATGCGAAAAGAGCAAATGGGAGAAGCAGATGAACACAAAAGTCTAAATTGTTAAAATGACTGAGATGGTATCGTTTACGTGATTCATGTATAACTGAATATTACAAGATTGGCATTTTCGACATGTGCATAAAATGCATGTGTGCATATTTTAAAATATTATTTGTAAATAGTTCAGAATGATTACTTCCCAACTACAGTTAACTTCCTTCACCTTTCTGTTTCTTTATGGTTCATTATTAAAAATCAGTTCCTATATGGAGAAAATGAAAGGGATTTTACTGACTGTTGTGCTCTATCGTTGTGTGGTTACTAGGGTGTTCACTAGTATGTTTTTTTTTTTACTGGATGAAGTTGAGAGAATGATAATTCTCAGTGATAAAGCAGGTGAAAATTTTCATCTCTCTATATGAGACCCGAGTCATATCTACAGTAGAAACCAGAGCTGTGCACCTGTTTTATCAATAACCAGGTGAAAACTGTAATACGAATGCTTAGAAAAGCATGCATTAGAATAACAGAGATGAAGACAAAGGCGAGCAAAATAACCAGAAAAATAAACTGGGAATAAAACTCAACAGAGCGTCAATAGAATAAATATACAACGCTGGAAGTGAATGATGTGCTGAGGGAAACAGTGTGAGTTCTTCTGTAAAGAAGAGGCATAATAAAGATCTAAAAAGCCCTCAATGACCAGTTCATCTCTACATATGGTACTTAGCGTCCATTCAGCAGCTAATGAAGGGATTCTTCTTAGCGGGTAGAGGCTCATTAGCTTGCTCAGGCAGATGGTGGTGCGGTAGGAACAGGCTGGTGTGCTGTACTTCATATGTGCCTTGTCTGTGAGGAAACCGCTGGACGTTACTGGACAGCTGTAGAGGTTTATCACTCTGACCAGCCCTCTCAAATCCCACGACAACTCGGTGGAGAAATTCAGTCCAGCACTTGTGAGATGCAACAAGAAAAACAAGGTAAAGTTCACTCAGATGCACCTGCAGAACATGAATATATTCTCACTGCGTGACTGGAAAACAGCTTGAAACAGACTCGTGTAAGTATTGTTTTCAGAGATTCTGTGGCTGCAAACATATGGATTGAATCCCAATTTGCACACTGTCCATCTCAGATATGCCAAAGTTAGACAGATGTATCCCAAATGGTGTTGAAAATACACTAAATGACCGAAAGCATGTGGACGACTTATAATTAACAGGTTCCAGTGATTTCCATGAGGACAATTCTTAATGCCCCTTACCAAAAAGTAGTATACTTCAAGTTTATTTTAGTAAGTATACTTAAGTAAAGTTCAAGTATATTTTTACGTATACTTTATGTAGCAAGTATACAAATATCAGTGTACTAGTAGTATACTTGTAAGTGTGCTATTTCAATACTCCTTGTGACTAAATTGGCCCACTTTCTAGTATATAAAAGTATACTTTTAAGTATACTTTAAGTATAACAGTAGTAAACTTTGAGTACACAACTAGTTTACAACAATATTTTTAGCTTGTACTGCAACTATACTAAAAGTGAACTTATATGAATACTGATTTTCTAATTAAATACTTGTAGTAGCATTTTTAGTACACTTTGAAGTATAGTCTTAGTAAACTACTAGTTTAGTAGTTTTATACTGCAAGTATACTCGTAAGTTTTCTTTAAGTGAACTTTACATCATACTTTAAGTATACTACTATGTCCCTATTTAGGTATTAATTTGTATATATTTTGTTATATAAATATCTGAACATACAAAACACCAAAAGAAAGAACAGGGTATCTGCTTGTTTAAAAGAAGTATACTAATAGCACACTTGAATAAACTTCTTTTTCGTAAGGGGCTACACATAAAATGATGAAATCAAGGGAATTGTGTGCTTTGGATTTTGTTGCAACACTTAATGAAGGGTGTTTTTCTACACCAGCTTGACGACAGCCCTGTGCACAATGCTACATCCATATTATCTGCTGACTTTGGTGGTGAGATTTGGGTTGAATTACTGCAACAGCCAAAGCCATATGTGAGCCTGGACCACAAAACCAGTCATAAGGGTCAATTTTTTTTATTTATACATCATCTGAAAGCTGAATAAATAATCTTTCCATTGGTGTATGGTTTGTTAGGATAGGACAATATTTGGCCGAGATACAATTATTTGAAAATCTGGAATCTGAGGGTGCAAATGAAGTTCTTAGCAATGCATATTACTAATCAAAAATTAAGTTTTGATATATTTATGGTAGGAAATTTACAAAATATCTTCATGGAACATGATCTTTACTTAATATCCTAATGATTTTTGGCATAAAAGAAAAATCTATAATTTTGACCCATACAATGTATTGTTGGCTATTGCTACAAATATACCCCAGCGACTTAAGACTGCTTTTGTGCTCCAGGGTCACATTTATTAGAAAGAGGGGGGCACATACTATTGCTTTATAGTACAATAGGGTTATTTAGGATAATTAGGCAATTTTTCACAGTCATCTCAATGAAAAAAGTGTCCCAATTTACTTGAATTCACCCTATGTCAAAGGTGCTTGGTTTAAAGTCCTTTTTCTAGTGGATTTGCAATGTTTGCATCAGTTTATGTCTTTTTTTATGTAGGCTAATACTGCCCATGTCTTGTGTTATAGAAGAGGATGATTTTGCAATGTAGGTGATTCTTCAATTAGGGAAACTAGTCTAAAAGTCTTGACTTTTGCGTTTGTGTTTTTCATTCTTTTTTGGCTCATATAGTAAGATATAGTGAGAATACAGAGGAAAAAAACAGCTCAATTTTATTCAGAGGTCCAAACTGATCAAAAATGTGTAATTTGGTGCAGATGCTGATATTTATATGGACAAAACGTAAGATTAAATTCTGATACTTGTAATATAAATCAGTGAGATCTTTATAGCAGATCCTTATATCAAATTATATGAATATCAGTCGTCACTCTGTATCTCCAATAATATGTCTTAGTAAGATGAGATTCAAATGCTTAGTTCAAAACATAATGCAATGCAGTACAATGATGATTGAGAGATGAATAAACAGTATTCAGTAGCCTGATGATCGTACTTGATACATTTGAACATGGTTTTTCTGAAAAAATGTTACTTCATTTATATTGAGATTGTTTTTTATCATTATCATCATGACAGGTGTTTTTACGAACATTTGTTTTATGAATTTTCTGTACGTTTAGGATGAAAATGAGAAGTGACAGTCACACATCTCATATTAAGATTTTAAAGGGACATTTCACCCAAAAATGAACATTTGTCATCATTTACTCACCCCTCATGCCATTCTTTTCTGGAACCAGATATTTTGAGAAAAGTGTTTTTTTGTCCATACAGTGGAAGCCATTGAGCCTTAACATTGTTTGGTTACCAGTGTTCTTCAAAATATGTTAATTTGTTGTCTTTTGTGAAAGACATAGCTTTGGACTGACTGACATGAGGAAGTAAATGATGAAAATATCAATATCTGAGATTAGAGAGTAGCTTTGTGTATTTTCCAAATCAAGCAAAGCTTAGGATTTCTATTCAGAAACAACTCATCTCTTTTATATTTTATATGTTCAAAAATGGCCCTAATTAAAGAATCAGCCGTTAATGTGTGTGATTATGTGGTATAAAGGCCTGTGGTGTCACATTGCCATACCAGTGAATTTGTGAAAACATACTTATTCAACTTTTCCCTCAGTGCATTTATTATTTTCCTTTTTTCTTCCCTGTGACCACCGGTGTTCTGCATCCATCTGTTAGTGGTAGTTTTGGCAGTGCCCTATCAGAACGAGTGCCAAATCAAAAGCACCTGTTGCAAGACTCTTCCACTCTTTGCCAAAACCATAAACAAACACGCCACACCAACTGCCAGTTTTGTCTTTCAAAGAAAAATAAGACATCACCCCATGCAACTTTGAAGAATAGGCGACAGAAGCCCAGGCCCTTGTTCAGAGATGTTTCCAACAGCTCTTCCTACTCGAAAGCGTCGGCGGCCTGAAGTTGCCTTCACTCGGGGTCACGAGGAGGTGAAGTTCAGGGATGTGACTCTGTACCTGGTGGAGAGGAGGATGGGAAAAAGCAGGAGGAATTTTCTGTCTAATCTCGCAAGATCTAAGGGCTTCTGCGTAGACGACGCTCTCAGGTACGTGACAGAAAACAACCGAGTGGATGAGGTGAGATTCCATAATTCATATTCCAGAGTTTAGCATTATCACAGCCCGGTTAAAGGGATAGTTCACCCCAAAATAAAACTTAGCTGTTAATTTACTCACCCTCAGGCCAAGATGTGGGGGACTACTTTTTCTTCAGTAGAACAGTAAAGAAGATTTATAGCTGAAACCGAGGTCCTTGGTGATTCATAAAATGAAAGTCAGCAGCTGGGGCCTCATTTATAAAATACTGCGTAGAAAGCATCCTAAATTTGATTTTACGATCATTTCTCAAAGTGCGTATGTGTGATTCATAGAACGAACGTATGCACAGAAAATGTGCGTACGACTCTCTTTTAGATGTGAAATCTATAAATTGCAATGATCTTGAAATTGTGCGCAGCTGAACAGCTTCAGATCTCCGCCTTGTAAACCATGTCTAATTAATGTCATTGACTTATAAAAGAGCACCTGACAATGTCCAAATTTTTACAAGCGGAAAGAATGGCTTATAGTTCCAAAACTCGGACAAACAAAAGTGCATGCGTCTGCTCAGACCCTGAAGCTCTTTTCCATGTCAAAGACCGTTTTTATAAATATGAACGTTAGGCGTGGATTTTTTTATAAATGAGGCCCATGGTTTTTGAGAATTAAAAAAAAAGCATATTAAGGAACACAAAATGAATACCCGTGACTCCTGACGATATATTGACGTCTTACGAAGCGAAACGATCGGTCTGTGCAATAAAGATTATTTACGAATGTTGGTGGGTGACACCTAGGGAGTAAAGTCGTATATTAAGGGGGTGTGGTTAGTTATGTATAAAGACTAGCGGTAGGAACAAGAATGGTAGGTGCGTTTGTTTCTGGCTGGCGGATATGGTTCGTATACATCCGAGAGGTTCACATATGGATTCTCTTGGATCCTTGAGATAGCTCTACGGAGCCCATTTGTTGCTCTTGTTGTAATTTGAGTTTCAGTTTGTTTTGGGGTGGAATGTTTGTTTTTGTTGGGTATTTCCTTTAGTCCGCCACTAGTCCAAACTAGACTTTCGGGCGGACTAGTTTCTTTTTTTTTTTGTTTGTCTACTGTTTGTTTTCCCCATTGTTTATACATGCTTTACAAGGACGCTTACATGCTTAGTGTTTAAGCAGAGTTGAGCTATTTTTGCATGTAATGTATTTGATGAATTGTGATTCACAAGGTTTATTTATTTTTTAATTAATTTGGTGGTTTTGTTGATTGTGTGTTTTGTTTTTTTGCATGATTTTTGTTTTTGTTTTTTTGCTTTTGCATGGTTTAATGCTCAACTTGTGCTTGGGTAATTTGTGAGTAAAGTGTCTTGTGTATGTAAAGCCAACAATAAATCTTGGGGATTTCTACTTAAATGAACCTGAGTTGTGCTGGGATGTGTTTATTTAAGGGTGAGCCTTGTAACACAACATTATTAGTTGTATTGCAGAGCCTCGGGCAAACGGGGAAAGCTGATTCTTTTCCGCAAACTGGTTCTTTCGGACAGTTTGTTTTTAAATTAACTGGTTCAGTTCACTAGTTCGTTTACATAATCACACAATATACGCCAATTATATTATTAAAGCACCCAATAATGATGTGAAACGTGGATGTTTTACATGTCTACGCATATAAAGTGAATAAACTAGCCTTTATCAGCTCAGAAACCATAAAAACTTTCGTTTCGCCCCTTAATTCAAGTTCTCGATTCATGCATGCTCATATCATCTGCTCATTGGTCTTCGGTCTGAAATAGAGGGCTGCATTGGGATTGGGATCCTGCGGGACCCAATGCAAATCTTGTGGGAGCGGTCGGTCAAAAAAATATAGCGCGGGTCCTCTTGTCGTTTTGCTTTTTTATAGAAATAAAAGATCCTTTAGTTCCGTTGGAAATCATATGCTACAATTCTAACCTGAAAACATCTGCTCTGCTCCGTACAGTGCAGGGTTGCCAGGTCTGTGTGACAAAACTAGCCCATGCCAGTCAAAAACAGCCCAATGAGAGAGCAATGACCAAATATCAAAACTCAAAATATGTAATTTCCATACCTAAAATACATATTTTACAGTCATTTTTATGCACATTGATCATAAACACAGCTCAAATGCCTCCTACCCGTGGCCCTCCTTCACAAAACTTAACATTTAGTGCAGTTTTATATAGGTAGAATGCAAAATATTTCAATACAAGAATGTCAAATGTAATTTATGAAATATTTCAAACCTTTAACCCACGGAGAAAAATCAACCCATTGCTAAACAACAGTTTAAAAAGAAGCACAATTCCGTGGAAAAAAACGCGGACTTGGCAACCCACGTGGAATTGGGCTCCTTTTATACTGCTGCTGTGGGTTGTATTTGAGTAGCAGTTGGGCTGGTTTTGTTACACAGACCTGGCAACCCTGCTACGTGCCTCGATGCTTCAGTAACATACCATCACTCCGGACAGTTTGCCTGAGGCATGAATTACAGGTAGGCTTGTTGTAAATAATGTTCAGTTTCTTGCACAGACTAACCGTTTCACTTCATAAGACCTCAAACAGGAGCTAGAGGTAGGCCTATTATTTTTGTGATCCTTGATATGCTTTTTTAATTCTTAAAAACACGTAGACTTGCATGTTATGAATCACACGGTTTCAGCAAAAAAATAAATAAAATCTTTACTGTTCTACTAAAGAAAAAAAGTCACCTATCTTGGATGAAAACAGCCAATTTTCATTTTTGGGGTGAACTATCCCTTTAAGCATTAAATCTTTCGCACAAGCATTTTAAGGAATTTGAACAGCACTTAATCAGAAGTCGGAATATCTCAACAAAACATTTTATTATATAGATATAGTAGATATGTTTTTAGTGAATGGCCAGTTTTCATAGAAACACATTTAGGTTTTAATGGTTGCTTTGGCTTAAAATTTTGTATATTTTAACAAGCGCCAATGGTAAATGTATGTAAAACTGATCAACCAAGTGTGAAAACAGTCAGAGGGTTTGTTTGTTCCTTTAAATCCCACTCAGAGACATTCAGATCCCAGTAGAGAGATTTTCCCTATTTAGAGACGGTGAGTGACGTACATCTCTTTGACAAACAATTAAAAGCTCTATTTTTCACTGTGTAATTAAATATTTTAATTTGCATACAATTTTATGCAAATCACCGTGATAATGACTAGGGCGGCTGGATTCTCGATGAGTTTCTAGACAGTAGGTTGCATAGAAAATGACATTGTGATAACAACAGCACAGAAACTGGCTATTAAAAGCTTGATTAACAGAATGAATCAGTTGCTTCAATAAAAAAACGAACTTTACAAGCACAGACATACTTGTTTTGAAGTGTGTAATGTGCTGAACATCACGTGTGAAGTGTCGTCTGTTATTCTTCTCTTCATGGCTGCTTGGTCAGAAGCGATCCGGGGCTGTTGGTGCCAGTTTGTGCAGGTGGAGAAGCACCAGTGGGAGTTGTTTGGGTAGACGAGCATAACAGCAGCCAGAAGTTTGCCGTAGCGTGCCGTACCCAGCTGAGCGATGGCACCATTCCCAGAAATGCAGCTTGAGCTCGAGTGGCCTACGGCTGCGTGCTGCTGTCTGCAGCCAACCACAGGAAACCCGTCGTGATAAGCTGAAAAATGACATTTTATAAGCCAGTGAGGATTTGATATCAGTACGAGTCTGATAGTACAATGCCCTATAATAAATCCCCTGGGTATTACGCTGAACACGGATGCGTGTCGTGATAGAGACGGCACAGAGACGCTGCACGGGAAGGGCTGGAGATTAGATGTTATGACATTCATAATGCACATCTTATGCTATATTGAAGCTGTTGGAATCAATCAAAGGGCGATTAGCTTCCAGTGGAGTTTGATGCAAGAGGAAAATGTTGTTGCTCACAGGTTGCTCGTTCATTGCTCAGCATCAGCTTGGATGCTTCTGCTAAAATTCCTTTCGGAGGAATAAAAATAGACACAAATCAGTCATGCAGTGGAAGTATATAGAGCTATAAAATTCAGATAATTTCTGAAAGAGTTTGCATCAGCGTCTCTGACTTCTAATTGCAAACTAAATTAAAACTAAATAGAAATAAGTAAATACAAAAAAATAAGTTTTACTATAAAAAACTTATAGTAAATACTATAAAAGAGACAATAAAAATACTATAAAAGAGACAATACTCAAAAACTTTGTCAAAAACCAAAAATATAAAAGCTGGAATTTTGTTAGATTTATTTGATAAATATTATTTATTATAATGTTTTTGTTTTATCCCCTGTGTTTAATCTATATTTATTAATATAGATGGTTTAAAGAATGAATGTTCTTTATTTAATGGTATTTTTAAAATATTTTTTTAAAATTCTGTTAGTCTAAGCCCCTTTTAAAACTGTTGTCCTTGAATGTAAGTTGTATGCCAATTTGTTCTGTAAACTTGTGATTTTTTTGTTATACTTAAAAAACAAAACAAAAAAAAAACTCTTCTACTACACACTCAAAAGTGTGTACTTTTTCTTCACCAAAAGAGTACATACTTTAAGGGCGTTGTATAAGTATAGGCACATTGAGACGCAGCAACAGTCATTTAGCAAAGTGCTGAAAGCTCAGGACTGTGTGTGTGTGTGTGTGTTATGCATGTGCTTCCGATCATCACACAGTCACATTCACATCCTAATGTGTGAGAGTCCACCTGATTTGATTTCATACAGTATAATCCGATCACGAGAACCACTAGAGAAATTAAAACCGCGCGTGGGTGTGTGTGAGAGAATCAATCAGTTGTAAAGTAGATGTGAAACTGGATTAAGGTGCTTGAAAACAGCTACTTATGTGCCACACGATCTGGGATGCATTATGTGCGTCTAAGTGTGTGTGTGTGTGTGTGTGTTTGGCAGCACTGATGTGACGCACGTCGTGTCGGAGGGGAACGCGGCGCAGGAGCTGTGGAGCTGGCTCGAGGAGCAGGGCTTTAGAGAGATGCATGATAAACATGTGCTGCACATCAGCTGGTTTACTGAGAGCATGAGCGCAGGCCGGCCCGTGCCTGTGCAAACCAGACATTACATACAAGTAAGTGCACTCGAGAAGCTCATATGGCAAACAGCAGTGGGGTTTCTGTCTTTTTTTCCATAATCTGTTAGCATTCCCGTGCATTTCACCTGTGAAATCACGCAATTCTGCCTCTCAATTTTGTTTTTATCATTAACTAAAACTAAAACTGCACAAATGTGCACTCACAAAATGTTTTCATTTCTTAAAATATCAACTAAAATCCTAAGATCCTAATGCAACATTTCTCATTTTTGTTTAAAGTTGAAGTAGTAAACTAACAAAAACTAAAACTTAGTAAAAACTATATGTAGACATTTTTAAAAAGCAAAAGCGAATAAAAATAAAAAACACAACACATTGCCAAAAACCTTAGCTAAAATAACGAACTAACTAAGAAAAACAAAACATTTTCATTACTATAAATATGAACTAAAATATTGAAGAAATATATAAATAGTTGCCAAGGCAACATTTCTCATTTTTGTTTATTTTAAGTTAAAATAACAAAAACTAAAACTTTATAAAAAACCTTTAAAAAGCAAAAGTTAATTAAAATGTAAAACACGCAACAAAATTGCTAAAACTTTAACTAAGATAAAAATGAAATCAGAAAATGTGTTCAAAATATGAACAAATCCGTTAGCGTTCACATTCGTGCTCAGGGTTATTTAAACTAAAACTAAAACCATTAAAAAAATCATTACTTGAAATAAAAATAAAATAAACATTACCTAAAATAATATAAAATACAGAAAAGTTATTCAAAAACAGCTAGTTGCCAAGGCAACATTTATCATTTTTCTTTAGTTTGTTGAAGTACCAAATAACTAAAACTGAAAGCTAAAACTTAATAAAAGCAATAAACCAAATTACTAAAGATTTAGCAAAAATGAAAACCGAAAATATAAAAATAAAGTCTAGCTCAAGAAATGAACAAATCTGTTGGCGTTAACATTTGTTTCACCCATGAAATCACTCAAGGTTATTATCGTTAACTAAAATGAAAACCATAAAAAATTCAATACTTAAAATAGAATAAACATTAGCTGAAATAATATAAAACGCATGAAACAATAAAACTAAATGAACAAAAACTTAATCTATATAGACAAAAAAAACCACAACAAAATTACTAAAATTAACTAAAATTACAACAAAAATAAAATATAATAAAAATAAAAGGTAATTCAAACTATATAATGTCAAATAACACTGATTCTGCTTCCATTAAATAGAAAGAATAAGCTTTGCGATTACCAATTGTTTATGATTCTAACAAATGTTTCTAATCTTCACAAATGCACACCACTTTTATGAATTTTGAAGCTCTTTTAGTCTTTATTTAAAACACATTTTCCCTGAACGTTTGAGTTAGAATAGTTTACAAGAGTGTGATTATAAACACAGCAAGCGACTAGTAAGTAGCTGAGTTTATCTGTTCGACTTGATGATATTTAAAGTCACCCACAACTTCTGTAGTCCCACTTAGACTCTTGTCAGCAAAAAGTAAGAGCTTTAAAAAAAGGTATTACTGGAGCGTGTGTTCACCACAGACCTTATTTCAGACACTGAACCAAAAACCCGTTCATAAAACCCACTGACTTTGGGACGACGGACCTTTCTAGTGTTCAAAAACATGTATAAATTAGACGTGACCTAAAACATAAAGACTTTACAGTCTACTGAATGGACTGTACAAATGAAATATGGCATCTACGTTGATTCGTGCAGTGCTAGAATCATAAACGAATCAGTGCTGGCCTCATATTCATGTGCTAAACGCTCACACGCTGTTTAGATTGAGCATCAACAGTCGAAATGTTGACGGCAAACAGGTTAAATGCACAAGTAGTAATTCAAACAGGTCGTGTGCTTGTGACATTTTGCACTAGTTCATTTAATATTATTAACCTCATGAATAGCAAATTAGAAACTTAACCCAGAGTTTTTCCAAATGTATCAAAACGTACTGACTCCCATAATTAATTAATAACCAATTAAATTTTTTAAATTAGTATTCTTGAATATTTGTCCAGTAGAAATGTCTTATAATTATTAATATCAATAATGTCTTTAAAACAAGACACATATACTGGAAAAAAAAATTGTATGGCATTCAGACAAAATTAGTTTCATACCTGCAACCTAATCACTTTTTGCCTTTTAAATCATTTATTTGGCTGAATGTAAGTTTTATAATTTTGTAAAACCTTATTTTGTCAAAACTTGTACTTTTTGAACTGTAAAGTTTTTTAAAATTGCAGTTTTTGCAGTCATTTTACAGTCAAGGATGTGGCCATAGACAATGGTGTTGTTTCAAAAGAATGTTGCTATCTAAACAGTGTAGTTCTATTTGATTCTACAACATGTAGTTCTCTCTCTCTCTCTCTCTCTCTGTCTCTGTCTCTGTCTCTATCTCTGTCTCTCTCTCTCTGTCTCTCTCTCTCTGTCTCTCTGTCTCTGTCTCTATCTCTCTCTCTGTCTCTCTCTCTCTGTCTCTCTGTCTCTGTCTCTATCTCTCTCTCTGTCTCTGTCTCTCTCTCTCTCTGTCTCTGTGTCTCTCTCTCTCTGTCTCTCAATTTCAATTTCAATTTAAGAGTGCTTTATTGGCATGACAAAAATTATACATTTGTATTGCCAAAGCAATTGCAGCTGGACTGCTTACAAATAGTACACATATGTATTAACAGAAAGAAAAAAATAATAACAATAGTAATAATAATAATATATAAAAAGTATTAAGCATGTAGTGCAAAATGAATTACTAATGTATGTAAGTATATAAACTAGAAATAAAAATAAAATAAATAAATAAAATAAGGGATTAGACATATTTTGCTCTGCAGTGAATGGGTGCCGTCAGAATGAGAGTCCAAACAGCTGATAAAAACATCACAATAATCCACACCACTCCAGTCCATCAGTTAACATCTGGAGAGGCCAAGCTGTTTTTATCAGCTGTTTGGACTCTCATTCTGACGGCACCCATTCACTGCAGAGCATCCATTGCTGAGAGACACTGATGCAATGCTAAATTTCTCCAAATCTGATTAAGAAACAAACTCATCTACATCTCGGATGGCATGAGGGTGAGCACATTTCCATTTTTGGGTGAACTATTCCTTTAAATCTGTCGTGTTGTTCATTAGGTGGTTGTGTCCTCAGATGTAGTAATCACTACTAGAGCACTAGGTGTCGCTGTGAGCCTGAAAGGGGTTCTGAACATTTAAAATAATGAAGATATGCACATCATAAAAATGAAGGTTGAAATTGAAGTGCAGAGGAATAGATCAACTAAAACGTGTCACGTGTTGTCGTACAAATGCGTGAGCAGCAAACACTCATGATGCAGATTCAATGCCAAATTTTTATTTTATCTCCAAAAAGCATTTCCCCCCCATCCATTTGGCACGTGCGTTGAGTTCTCGGAGCTTGAATGTGCCTAAATTACATTCCTATAGAATGCAACTTCACAGCCGCTTTGGGAAATAATGGGAAAGGGCATTGCATTTCACGTGTTGGTTGCAGAAGCACATTTCATAAAGCCGTGAGGCCAGCGTCAAACAGAGGCATCAGTGCGACGCCGGGCCTCGTAGCGCATCGCTGACTGACGCTGAAGACCCCTGGACAACGCCGTGGGTGCTTCCGCAGCATATGTGCCCCAAATAAAGAAATATGCTGCCTGTTTCACAAACTCCATTAATCTTTCTTCTCCTTCTCAGTGGGATAGAGACGAGCAGAAGTTCTCGCCGCGTGTCTCGCAGGACTCATGACTGTGAACTTGAGTTCGTCGTTTAGCCGCTTCAGTGCTGCAGACCAGAAATGGTCTTGTTTACTTTTGGCCGGCGTTGATTGAGGCGTTTAGCATCGAGCAGCTTAAATGAAGATGCTTTGATTGATCCACACATCAGAGTCAGGTAATGATGCAGAAGACAGTAACTGATCTGCGACATTAAAGGATTAATTCAGCCAAAAATGAGGCTTCTGTCATCATTTAGTACAGATCTGTATGCTGTTATTTCTGTGAAGAAATTTGCATGCAAAATCATTATGCAACTCGCATATGGGCAAAAAATTCTATATTCCAAGTCATATGACGCTTTGAGTGAGTAAAAGTGTGATAAAACTGAGGACATTTTTAATATTTAGTGTGAACCGGAGTTATTTATATATATATATATATATATATATATATGTAAGTATTCGGCAGATGCTTTTATCCAAAGCAACTTACTTTACTAGCGCCATGATCTACAGAAATATTATAGAATTTAATATTTTAAAGTCACGAACAGCTTGTAACACTCCAAAGAGAAAGGAAAACTTGAAATCGCATCATATGACCCCTTTAATTTCTAGCTTTTTTTTCAGTTTAATTTTAATTTTAGTCAAGTTTTAGTCAGTTTGTTATGGGCTTTAGTCATTTTATTTTTTAAATATTAAATATTTATTTTTAGCTTTAGTACTTTAGAGTTTTTCATCTGCTTTTTATATTATTATTATATTATTGATATTTTTTTTAGCTTTATTTCAGTTAGCGCAATACATATATTTCTATTTAAGTTTAATTCATTTTTATTTCAGTTTTAGTTTTTGAAATTTAGTACTTCAGCTTATTTCAGTTTATTGCCATGGTAATATTTCTAATTTTCTATATTTCTATGGTTTTCTATACACTGGTAGTGTATGTATGTATATATATATATATATATATATATATATATATATATATTTAATTTAACAAAAACTTTGTTTTTAATATTTCTATTTAGCTTTAAATAATTTTTATTTCAGTTTTAGCAATTTTAGCACTTAAACTTTTAATTTTAGTTTAAATGTTAGAAATTTTAGGTGCTTTTTGTCATTTTTATTTATTTGAGTTTTTTGTTTTAGTAATTTTAGTACCCCAATTTAACTTTTTTTTTTGTTTTGTTTTTTGGTTAGCAAGTTTTACATCTAATATAATTTTTTAATGTTATTTGAGCTTAAAATGAAAAGTATTTTGTGAACTATTCCTTTTATAGTGATGTATGATGTGTGTGTGTGTGAGGTGTAGAAATGCTAAAAACTTCAAAAACTTCAAAAACTTCAAAAGAAGTTGCCTTTATTAGAGCTCTAAAAATGTCGCCTTCAGTCGCCTTCACGGCTCTCTTTCTCTCCTGACGACACGCTGCAGCTTTTACACCCACTGACTTGTAATGATTGTAAGAAATGCAGATAAATACGCCTCTTGCTGCCATCTAGAGGGATGGGACGATCAGGGAAGAGTACAGAGAGTGAAATGAGTGTGTGTGTGTGTCTTCAGAGACATCTGTTTCGCTATCAGTCATGCACTTGGAGAGGAAGCGGAGGCCCAATCAGGAGGGATGTAAACCCGAACCGGGCCGGTGTTCAGGGTGTGATCTCATTAACCCGAGCGCCACGGCTCACCTGCTCGAGTGTTGGTCATTAACCCGCAGCAGACGCTTCCCTCACCTGCATTCATTTCAGCACATTGTTTCGAGGTGAAGTCTATCTTCAGTCAAAAAAACAAACCCTGTTTTCAGTGTCTGTGACCTCCAGATGTGATTGATGCATTGCGCCCCCTGGTGCCAGATGTAGTGCACTTTTAATTTGTTGAGAGACACTCAAGAGAAATGCTATTGCTCTATTAAACTGCCGAATGAAATCCAATATTTCTTTCTTAGTAATTTTGTGCTGCTATTCCAAAAATAGCCTGTTTTGCTCAAGCACGTCACACTTCCTCACTATATATGATGCATTCCTGTCTTCCTCTGTACCAGATTGCAACTGTTCTATTCTCAGCCCATTTTTCACATGTATGACATTATTTCATTATTTTATGCCTAATCCTGAATTATGGCCAGTGACAGAAGAAAATGCAAATGTGAGCCTGATGTTTTCTGCTTTTACTGCATCCTAACAGCCACAGAAAATTACAGATTTTGTGAAAATAGCTTATTTATGTGTTTATATAAAGTTCTTTGACATTAAATCGAGTATTTAAACATTTTTCCACTCCTTTGCATATTGTAAGTTAAATTATATGTTTTGAATCGTTGACGTTTTGACTGCTTTTGTTATTGTCATATTTTGAAGTGCATTAAAGTTTCCATCCATCCGTCCGTCCGTCCGTCCGTCCATCCATCATTTTAATTTGAAAAAAAACCCCATCATATTTTGATATATATTAATATATCTAATATATTTATATTGTATTTTTTCAGTTTTATGAACATTTAACATTTTTTTCTTTGTTATTTCCATTTTAGTAACTTTAGTAATTACATTTTTAGCTTTAGTGTAAGCTTTAGTAATCTTGTTATGTGCTTTTGTCATTTTTATTATTTTTTTATTATTTATATTTATCTTTAATTCATTTTTTCTTCCATTTTAATAGTAGTTATCACTTAAACTTTTAAATTTAGTTTAAGTTTTAGTAATATGTGTTTTGTAATTTTTATTATTTTTTAAATATGTACATTTATCTTTAATTCATTTGTATTTCAGTTTTAGTAATTTGAGTAAGTTTTAAGTTTAAGTTTCTATATATAACTTGAAAAATCTTCATACTTTGTGAAAATACTGTAAATTAAGGAAAGTTTTATTATATAAATGTATTTTATTATATTTATTAGATTAATATATTTGAATCAAAATGTCATCAAATTAGGTAATATCAGGCCTTTTTTTGTAAATCAGATAAAAAAAAAAAAAAGTATTTGATTTATTTTTCAAAATGCAGGGATCTGTAATAGATCAGGACTGAAAATTAGCTTTGTCTCAAATGTTCCTCCTAAATTTTTTTTTTTAGGAATTGATGTGAATTTGATGGGAAATATTTGACTTTGGATTTCATACTTGGCAAATCTGAGCGGTTTGAGACCTTGTTGAGTCTCCATTTTCTCTCTGTGTAGTCTTACCGCTGTTTAGGAGAAAATTGAGATTTTTTTTAGACATTGGAAATGAATATTTTTGTCTGAGTGGCAGTGAAAAGGCATGTGAAGACCCACAGTGAGGTCTGGTTTCATGGGAAGGGAAATTAAATCAGAAAGTGCCTTTAAATATCATAACATAATGGGGAAAAAGAGCCCAGATTAGTTTCTGATTTGCCCTGAAACAGTCATAATACAGGCATTATATGCAGACTCTTTATGCTTGTGAAGGAGGTGATGCCCCTGACGGCGAATAATGGCTCTGATTTTTCTCACTTCTGAGAGCTTGATGCTTTTGCTGGAGGGGAGTGAAGATATCAGGCCTCTTTTCATTCAGATCCGTGATGCCTCTAAAATAGCTGGCGGTCAGAACAGCGTGTTAGCATTCACTTTCCCTGCTGAATCTCTGAATCGGCCATTATCGCAATGTGCCGAGATGATTGCGCAGGTCATTTTCATGGGTGCAGACTCCCATCGCATCTAACAATTATTCCCAGAGCGCTGACATTACAGCTGTAATCCTTTAGTGAGTCGGAAGGGGGGTGAAAATTTCAGCGCCTAAATCAAACGCCAATTCATGAGGGCTAAATTGGAGCTGCTGTAGCCTTTATGGCTGCAATTGTAAATCATAAAGCTGTAATTGATTCTGATGCTTCCTGCCGGTATCGTGACTCCTGTGCGATGAGATAAACATTTGTTAACCACACTCTCACCTTTTCTGACGGTAATCTGAGTGTTTACAGCGCAAAAGATCCCACCGTCATGCTAGGATGTGGTAGGTGGTTGCTATGTTATTCTAAGGTGTTCTAGGTGGTTACCGGGGCTTTGCATGGTGGTTTTTAGGGTTTCTGGGTGGTTACTAGGATGTTGCTATGTGGTTGCCATGATATGGCTTTGCAGTTGCTTGGGTATTCTTGGTGGTTGCTATGGTGTTGCTATGCAGCTTCTAAGGTGTTCTGGGTGGTTACTAGGGTGTTGCTATGTGGTTGCCATGATATGGCTTTGCAGTTGCTTGGGTATTCTTGGTGGTTGCTATGGTGTTGCTATGCAGCTTCTAAGGTGTTCTGGGTGGTTACTAGGGTGTTGCTATGTGGTTGCCATGATATGGCTTTGCAGTTGCTTGGGTATTCTTGGTGGTTGCTATGGTGTTGCTATGCAGCTTCTAAGGTGTTCTGGATGGTTACTAGGGTGTTGCTATGTGGTTGCCATGATATGACTTTGCAGTTGCTTGGGTATTGTTGATGGTTGCTATGGTGTTGCTATGCAGCGCCTAAGGTGTTCTGGGTGGTTACTAGGGTGTTGCTAGGTGGTTGCTTAGGCATTACTATGTAATTTTTAGGGTAATCTGGATGGTTGCCAGGATGGACCTATGCAGTTTATAGGGTGTTACGGGTGGTTGCTAGGGAACTGCTATTTCATTTCTAGTGTGTTCTAGGTGGTTACCAAGGCATTTATAGGGTATTTTGAGTGGTTGCTAAGGTCTTGCTCTCTGGTTGTCATGATGTTTTTATGCAGTTTCTAGAGTGTTCTGCGTGGTTACTAGGGTTAGGGCTGCACAATTAATCGAATTTCTAATCGCGATTACAATTATGGATGCCACAATTACATAATCGTTCAAAGCGGCAATTAATCGTTCAAAGTCCACTTATGTTATTCTGCATGCTTAAAATGTGTTTTTTTCTTTCTACATGTTATCTTAAGGGTTTTTTCCCATTATTTTAATTTTAGTTTTAGTATAACATTATAATACCATTCATATTTTTACTTTTTTATAATTTAAAGAAGAAACCAATCCGATGTATAGTTGACATTTAAGGCATAAAACTATAGAAAAGCACTAAAAGTTTTTCAGTTAGAGTGTTTTCAGCTTGTTTATTTTCATATAAAAATATGGCATGCAGTTGCATCAAACAATGGTATAAACATCATTCAATGTAAATTGTGTTAATCGTAATTAATAATTACAATTTTCAAGGGATACAATTATGATTTGTGTCATAATCGTGCAGCAGGAGGTTGTGAGTGGTTACTTAGGCATTACTATGTCTATGACTATATGGGTGGTTGCTAGGGAATTGCCATGTAATTTCTATTGTGTTCTAAGTGGTTACCAAGGGGTATTCTGGGTGGTTGCTAGATATTTGCTATATAATTGTGTCTAAGGTGTTTTAGGTTGTAACCAGGGCTTTGCCAGGGTATTCTGGGTGGTTGCAAGGGTGTTTCTATGTGGCTCCTTAGGCATTACTATGTCATTTTTAGGGTGATCTGGATGGTTACCAGGATGTGGTTGCAAGAATATTCTAGGTAGTAGCTAGGGCTTTGCTATGTCATTTCTAAGGTGTTCTGGGTGGTTACCAGGGCATTGCTAGGGTATTTTGGGTGGTTGCTAGGGTGTTACTATGTGGTTGCCAGGATATTGTGCAGTTGCTAGGGTGTCCTGGATGGTTGCTAGGGCATTGCTAGGTGATAGCAAGAGTTTTGTGAGTGGCCTTACTTTGTCATTGTTAGGGTGATCTGAGTGGTTGCCTGGATGTTGCTATGCAGTTGCTAGTATACTCTATGTAGTTGCTAGGGCTTTGCTATGTCGTTTCTAACGTGTTCTGAGTGGTCTAGGGCATTGCTAGGTGGTAGCTAGGGTGTTGTGAGTGGTTGCTTTGGGATTACTGTTTTTTTAGGGTGATCTGGGTGGTTGCTAGGATGTTGCTCTGCAGGTGCTAGGGTATTCTAGGTGGTTGCTAGGGCTTTGCTGTGTTGCTGCTTGTTTTAGCAAACACCAATAATAAAAGTAAGTATGGCAAAATTATTCTATATGTGTTAAATATTGAGAGGCTTTGTGAACTGGTTTGTGCCAATTGATTATATTCATCTAATATTGACTGTACATTATCTGATTTAATTATGTCTCTCTCTCTCTCTCTCTGTGTGTGTTTGTTTATGAGCAGAATCCCGCTGTGGATCAGAGGTCGTGTGCACATCCGTCAGCCAAACCGGAGTCTGCTGTGTCTCCGTATGCTTGCCAGAGACGAACGACATTGAACAACCACAATAAGATCTTTACAGTGAGTACAAACACACATGTGTGATGCTAATCAAACTCCAACATCATAAAGGACACTGAGATATTATTTTAAAACTAACATCACAGTGCTCCTGAGTTATTTTAATCTTTGGCCCACTTGCAGCACAGTATGGACAGAACAGAAGGGGGCCGAACCACACACAAACACGTCCTCATTAACACGCACATTAGCTGCTTCAGCTGTACACTGTGCGACCATTGCAAAGGATTATTTGCTTTTAGAAACTGTCCTCTCAGACATACGACTTTTACATGTCTTCAAGAAAATATGAGTTGTGTTTGCTTGTACAAAGTAGTTTCTATGGTGTCCTGGGTGGATACCAAGGCATTGCTAGGTGGTTTCCATTGTGTTTTGGGTGCCAGAATGTTGCTAAGGCGCTGCTAGGGTATTCTGAGTGGTCACCAGCGTATTGCTAAGTGGTTTCTACAGTGTTTTTGGTGGCTGCCAGGATGTTGCTAAGTTGTTACTAGGGGGTTCTAGGTGGTTGCCAGGGAATTGCTAGGTGATTTCTAGGGTGTTTTGGGTACCAGAATGTTGCTAAGGAGCTGCTAGGTTATTCTGAGTGGTCACCGGGTTATTTCTAAGTGGTTTCTACAGTGTTTTTGGTGGCTGCCAGGATGTTGCTAAGTTGTTACTAGGGGGTTCTAGGTGGTTGCCAGGGAATTGCTAGGTGATTTCTAGGGTGTTTTGGGTACCAGAATGTTGCTAAGGAGCTGCTAGGTTATTCTGAGTGGTCACCGGGTTATTTCTAAGTGGTTTCTACAGTGTTTTTGGTGGCTGCCAGGATGTTGCTAAGTTGTTACTAGGGGGTTCTAGGTGGTTGCCAGGGAATTGCTAGGTGATTTCTAGGGTGTTTTGGGTACCAGAATGTTGCTAAGGAGCTGCTAGGTTATTCTGAGTGGTCACCGGGTTATTTCTAAGTGGTTTCTACAGTGTTTTTGGTGGCTGCCAGGATGTTGCTAAGTTGTTACTAGGGGGTTCTAGGTGGTTGCCAGGGAATTGCTAGGTGATTTCTAGGGTGTTTTGGGTACCAGAATGTTGCTAAGGGGTTGCTATGATATTCTCAGTGGTCACCGTGGTATTTCTAAGTGGTTTCTACAGTGTTTTTGGTGGCTGCAAGGATGTTGCTAAGTTGTTACTAGGGTGTTCTAGGTGGTTACCAGGGAATTGCTAGGTGATTTCTAGGGTGTTTTGGGTGCCAGAATGTTGCTAAGGGGCTGCTAGGTTATTCTGAGTGGTCACCAGGGCATTGCTAAGTGGTTTCTACAGTGTTTGTGATGGCTGCCAGGATGTTGCTAAGTTGTTACTAGGGTGTTCTAGGTGGTTACCAGGGCATTGCTAAGTGGTTTCTACAGTGTTTATGGTGGCTGCCAGGATGTTGCTAAGTTGTTACAAGGGTGTTCTAGGTGGTTACTAGGGAATTGCTAGATGGTTTCTAGGGTTTTTTGGGTACCAGAATGTTGCTAAGGGGTTGCTAGGGTATTCTGAGTGGTCACCGGGGCATTGCTAAGTGGTTTCTACAGTGTTTTTGGTGGCTGCCAGGATGTTGCTAAGTTGTTACTAGAGTGTTCTAAATGGTTACCAGGGTGTTGCTAAGTGGTTTATCTTAGTTTATCTTATCTTTAATCAATTTTTCTTTCACAATCTATGAATTTAGTCTCAGATGGCAAAATTGTAGTGTGTGTTTCTGGCATTACTCATAGACATCAGCTAGTGTGAGGTGAAAAATAGGAAAGATTTAGTCTAGTCAAATGTAGATAAACACATGCAGATGTTTTTATTTTCTCACAAGACGTGGAAACTCAGGCGTAATCGCCAGACGGCCTTTGTTTTGTCTTGTGATTTGTGCTTTGAAGGTTACAGGCCTGTTATCAGTTGTCGAGCAAAAGTTCAGTCATGTTCTGCTTTAAATATTTATTTGATACTCGAACATAAACACCTTGAGCTTCTGTGAAGAAAATTACAAGCAACTCTTGAGACGCTGCCAGAACTGCTAAACTTTCTGTGTGTGTTCAGTGCCAGAATTAGACTGACAAACGCTGGAGGTTTAAGAGCTTTTGGATGCACGAGGCGTCGCTCGCTGATTATTACAGCTGATGTGTTGTGGTGCTTTGAACATTAATCCAGAGAAAAACTGTAAGAATATGCTTTGTTTCAGATTTGACATTTGCGGAGACTCGTATTTTGCGACCAGCAACGTTAATAAATCAATTATGATGAAAGAGAAAAACACCAAAGACTGACAGGGCGAGGTGAACCGTAACCGAGAGCACAGATTAAAATCTCTTCTGTATTTCACTGGTAAATATGATATTTTAATAAAAAACGGAGACTTGATTGCCAGGAGAGAAAAACACCTGCAATGCAAACACATGATTGAGAATAATGATTGAGCTGAAGGACAGCAGGGTGAGATGAGAGGAGCTCAGGGTGTTTGTGAGAGATATAATCGGTTTTGTTTAGGCTACAAATATCATATGTGTGCATTTTAGTCCTTAGATATTTATCTAAATGCTGCATCAAATTCGTCTACCTTCAGCGTGTTTTATTGCGGCGGTTGCGCATTTGTTGACATGCATCGTGCATATAAATGCATTGGGGATTTTTTTCCCTATCACATATTTGAGCAGTCATCACTAAATTAGATATCATTTGAAAGCTTTAACATTCAAAATTCATCCTGTGAAAATCGTTTTGAAACCAGACATAGCGATACCACGGAAATGGAAAACTAGTACAAGGGTCATGCACACCTGACAATAATGCGTAGGTGCGTAGGATCAAAAAAGACAATCTTGTAGAAAAAAGAAGAATGAGGATCCCGCACACTACAGCTTGCATATAAAAATATGTCTTTATTATCTACAACTGCAAAGTTTGTGACAGGAAAATGCATATTTGCTGTTTTTGGTATAGCATCTAAACAAAAACTCACCTCGATTTTTTTTGTGACGTCAACTTCAAATTTGGAACATTTTGTAAAATATTTATTGTAGATAGAATAAAACATTTTTGTACAGTGCATTTCTTTACAGTAAACTTTTTTTTACATTTCCATTTTTTGAAATGCTTTCACTTGTCTTCTTTAAAAATAGACCAGGCTTAGGTGAGTATTCCAAAGTGTTAAATGTGTTAAACATGTGTTAAGCTTTCCATTGATGTATGGTTTGTTAGGATAGGACAATATTTG